GCCGAGTATTATTATCGAATATTCGGCTAAGTGCTTCGCAAAATACGTTTATATTCGAGCCACCGTACAATTCAAAAGATATCAAATCTATGTTCAAATAAGTTTAATGTTGACTGACGGTTTTATAGGTATATTTGTAACGAGAAATATTGCCAATCTGATATTAAATCACACTGAATACTCGGCTTAAAGTTTAGGTCGAATACAGGGTAGTTGCAGGATATTCATTACATATCTATTGGCTATCATTACTGTGTTGCCAGTAACATTCCCGGCTATATTTCCCTAATTAATAGTTGGACTGCGATAGTGCTGCAATAGAAAACAATAAACCGGCCAATGTATTTATGCAAATGATTATTAAGGGTACTTTTCGTCCATAAAAACTTGTTACCATGGGTATTGCGAAAGCCTGTTGTACTTATGCATTGTTACCACACTGGTATTGAAAAGAAAATACTTGGCTGTTAACAAATATTATAGTACGGAGTGCTTTTTAAATGGACTAAAAAAGAGGTTAGCATTTTCAAAAGTACTTTTTCGTAAATTCCATCATTTGTATTGCATACAATTTGTTATCGTTTGCAGCAATACTGAGGTGGTATTAATATTTAAAATTGTAAGTACTATATATAATTAAACAAAAGATGCAGAATTATGCAGTAGTTTCACCAAGAAGGTGGTGTTTGGTATTAGGACGCACAAAAAAGATGTAGGTGCCCTAACTAGTAGGAAGTCTACGATGACAGCCACTCGGACCACTTCCGAATACGGAAAGAACAACCACGGAAAGCCTGATCCTAGTAGAAGCACCAGTTGTACTGAAACACTCATTTGTCCGGGAAGTAAACTGTATGAGATAGACTGCGCATAAAGCTGAAAGTATCAAACTTTTTTAAATGATTTTCGACTTTATCTTAATACGATATAAAGTTACACCTTGATTGAAGATTATCTGCTTTAACGTGTTACAATAATAAGACACAGGGTGTAACAATATTAATTGGGTTTCATACATAAGCAAATCCAGCAACAACATCGGGTAAACTCGAATGATATAAATCTTTATTAGAACAGAAATATTTGTTTTACTAACTTTTTATTTTGGTTTAGTTAACCATCTAAATGTTACATTTTAAAACGTTTCTACTTATAAAACTATAAACTGGTAAATAAAAAACTATAGAAGACGTTAATAGAGTTTTCCGAGAATATCAATTTAAAATCGTGACCTGAATAAACCTCAGTTTGCTGTCGTTCCAAGGAAGAATCCTTAGAAAAAGCAATTATATTAAAACTCGACTTAATATCCACATTGTTTCATTTGTCTTTTTGGAAGAACTTTAAGTTACATAAGTATAAATATATCTTTAAGAATTTGGTTTTATATTGCATTTCACCGGTTCATTGGCCTTATTTGTAAACATAATCAGATAGGTATACATTCAGATAAAAAAGAAAATATAGTTTTAAAACGTATATACCAGACAGTTGCATTTCATTTGTCGAGTAAAAAACGAGGCGATATCTATTTTAATTCTAGGTTATTTAAATTCAATAATTCTTGAATTTCAAAACCAAAATGGAATCGTTTATAGTTGCATATATTTATTATGTATATGGCTATATATCTAGAGACTTTGGGTTCTCTTAAATTTAGGTAATACTTACATATTCCCTTACAATCTTTTGTAACACGTTATGTCTTGAAATATTCTTGTTGTCAATCACAATAAGAAGTTTAATAAAACGGATTTAAACGCAATAAACGTCAATAAAGTGGAGTATACATGCTATATGGTCTAATGCTAGTGAACTGTAACAGGTACAGGTGAAACATTTATAAATAACCTATCTATTGATAATGTAACCACGAAGGAAGTTAGGATTACCATAGATATTACTCCAAGGTTGCAGCAATAGGGTAGTTTCCTAAATTTTATGGTAATGTCCGTCTGGTACATTTATTTAAAACTTTAGACACGTATTTTTTCTTTTCTCACAAAATTAATTACTTTCGACGATATATTAATTTGAAATATCGAGTGACGTCACAGCGTGCCTCATACTCTTATTGCCTAAAGACCAAGCCGTTCCTTCTCCTGCTTTTCGAACCCAAGCCCCAGTGACTAGTTGAAATAATGATTACCCTTTCTAGAATAGGGTAGTTAGCAGGGAATGAAAATTAAAAATCTAATTAGTCCGTCAGTTAGATAATGAAAACATATTAGACACGTATTTTTTTATTTTCTCGTATATAGTTACATTTAATACTTAGACAAGTTTAGGAGTGGGAGGTCGTTACGTCACTAAGTGCTACAAAATGTAGCGTATTCTGACGTCACACGATATTGCAGGTTATCATATCGTCGAAAGTATTTAATTTTGTGATAAAAGAAAAAATACGTGTCTAATATCCTTCCTAATATAATAAATCTGAAAGTGAGTTTGTTTGTTTGTTCCACCTTCACGCCGTAACTACTCAACCGATTGCTTTGAATTTTTGTAGACGTTTAGTTAGAAGTCCGGATTAAATAATAGGGTACTTTTTAACCCGGAAAAAATTGATATTCCCGAGGAAAAACAAAAGAATTGGTATAGATGGCGCTGTGTATATTGGTATATATCACATAGGCTACTTTTTATTCTTTTGTGACGCGAGCGAAGCCGCGAGTAAAAGCTAGTTTCAAATAAATCTATCAGGCGGACATTAAAATAAAATTTAGGAACTACCCTATTAATATAGCATGGTGTTCATTATATCATTTAATATCAGTGACACAATATTATATCAGTTTCATGTACAAAGTTAAATTTCTTCTCAGCGATGTAAACGAGAACTGTCAATAACATTAATTAATTCTTTTTGTTTGATAACAAAATTGAGAACAAACCTGTCCTAAGCATATATGAGTATAGGCAAACTCTGATTCAGGTACATACGTTAAATAAATTTTAACAATTTAACTTAGGAACAACTTTGATATCAGTTTTCGTAGCGGTTGGTACCTATATATAGATTTTTTGTGTACCTGTAATAATTTCGGTAGCAAAACTTGATTGACACAAAAGGATTTTTTATTTATTAATAAGTGTAGACTGGCTCGTTGGCCGAGTGGTCGCAAGTGCGACTGCCAGGAAAGAGGTCTCGGATTCGATTCCCGGATCGAGCAAAGTACTAATGGGTATTGTTAAAATCCTCAGTAGTAGCACCGAGTCTGAAATTGTCCCCGATATATGCCAACAGTCTCACTCCCTATTATATGGGACTCATAACATAAATAATGAAAAGTGGGTGTTACATTGTACAGTGGCATCAGGTGCCGTAATGCGCACCTCTGCCTACCCATTCAGGGATAAGGCGCGATGTCATGTTATGTAATACGTGTACTATCATTACTAGATATCACACATACGAGTTTCTAATATAACGATCTTCAATAAACTCACGATGACGTATACAATAATCTGTATGATAACTAAGTTTCTCTAACCTTTTCCATCAGCTTCACCTGCGTGAATTTTCCATTAAAGATAGTCTGTACCTCTCCCCAATATACCTAAAAGTAAAGTCTTCATCATCAACAGCCTATAAATGCCCACTGCTGAGCAAAGCCTCTTCTCACACGGAGAAGGTTTGAGCATTAATCACCACGCTAGCTCAATGCGGGTTGGTGATTTCAAACTTATAATTAGAAATTATAAGTCCAGGTTTCCTCAAGATGTTTTTCCTTCACCGTTTGCCAGTGGTGTCTAAATAATCTTAGAAAGTACATATAACTCGGAAAAAGTCACATTGGTACTTGCCGTTGGTAGGTTTCGAACCTGCACCCTCATGCATGAGAAGCGGGCGTCTTAAACCTCCGGGCCACCACCACACAAAAGTAAAGTGCCTGAATTAAATAAACTTAAATAAACTAAATGGGCCGGCTCGACCGGAGTGATACCACGGCCTCACAGACAACCGACGTGAAGCAATGCTTGCATTGTGTTTCGACGTGTGAGTGAGGCTACCGGAGGCACAGCTCCCTCCCCCCTTCCCCAATCTCCCCAATCTCCGAATCCCCAACAATCCTAAAACTCCTAATCCATAAAAGGCCGGTAACACACTTCTAACGCTTCTGGTGTTCCAGGTGTCCATGGACGACGCCGATTGCTTACCATCAGGTGATCCGTCTGCTCGTTTACGGCATATATCATAAAAAACTTACTTTCGCGTTTATCATATTTGTAAGGATTTCACGACTTTATATCTTCATTCCGTATAGGGTGGAGCCTGTGATAGGCACGTTTTTAAATCTATGCGATAAATCGGGGTTTTGAAATTAAAAAGTAAATACTAATTCTTTCTATGACCCAGAGACCCCGTACTAAACTACGTACCCCCGTACGTAAATTAGGTTTCTAGTAATCTTTCGTAATGGAGGTACGTATGTATGTAGCCTATCTAATTACTATCAACGTCAAGCCTACTAACCTGTTTTGGCTGAAAAACTAGTTCTAGATTAGAAACAAGTAGCCCGAGTAAGTGTATTTTTAGATTATAAAACTAGACATATTCTATTAATAGACTTAATTTATTTAAAAGACTACGTCGTTGGTCGAGTGGTCACAAGTGCCGGGCAAGGGGTCTCGGGTTCGATTCCCGGATCGGGCAAAGTATTACTGAATTTTTAAAAATCGCAGTATTTGCACGGAGTCTGAAAATGTGCCTGGTATATGGCAATATGCCCCTATTACATGGGACTCATAACATAAATAGTGAAAAGTGGGTGTTATATTGTATAGTGGCATTAAGTGCCGTAATGTGCACCTCTGCCTACCCCTCCGGGACTAAAAGACGTGATGTTATGTTAATGTTAATGTTCATTTAACTCGTCGAGTACCGGTTTTATAGACACAATTAAAGAACAATAGGTCGCGGTCATCGGTGACCGCTTGGTGTTTGACAGTTTAAAGGCAGATATGAATTGAGAAAATAATTTAAGACAATAAAACAATTTTTAAAAATAATTTTAATAGATATGTAAACAATTTCATCACAATATCATCTTTTCTCTCTCTCCTCCACTAATTCTTCTGAAACTTCTTCAGACTTTTTAGATTCTAAGAAGTAACATTCAATTTCCTGCAAAGTCTTGTCTTTGCTCTCTGGTAAATACTTATACAATAAAAATGCAAAAACAGACGCAGTAACTCCATAAAAGAGGAATGCACCATGTAATTCAAAATACTTAAAAATATACGGTGACACTTTTAATATAGAAGCCATTAATATTTCTGAGAATATAGCTAGAGTTGGCAGGGATGAACTTCGATACCTCAGAGGTGTTAATTCTCCATACACAGAACAAGCCAATATCATTGGCCCACAACTTATCGTCATAGAAAATGAAGTTAACAAGAACAACGATACAATCTTATTTTCCGACACTATACATAATTTTATGAGGTATAAATATAGTGAAATTATAAACAAAAACATAATACCAATTGACGATGAAGATAGTAATAACGTTCTTCTTTTAAGGTACTTTGACAGAACACAACCAATTTGCATACTAAATATAGTGACGGCTTCTAAAATAAGCATGCCTGTATATGCTGTGGACTCGCTTTTAGTTATTTTCTTAATTAACTCGATAGAATACATGCTACAAACAAACTTTCCAGAGAAATTATATAGCGACATGACTGTCATTGACAACAAAAGGGGCTTGTAAAATGCCTTTGTCGATATCGTTTCTATGATATTTTTAAGCCGCTTCGACGATACTTCTTTCTTTTTACAACGAGCTATGTATTCTTTTTGTGATTGTATTAAATTTTCTAGTTCTTTTTCAGAATCTTTGTCATAGCCTTTCAACCAATGATGGGATTCTGCGCATTCTTCGAAACGACCATTCATTGCCAACCAGGATGGAGATTCAGGCCAGAAGAAAGAAGTCAAGGATAATGTAGCACAAACGAAGGCTATGATAGCAATATTCTTCCAATGGCTGAAGGTGCCAGTAGCATTGGCAATCCACACTCCCCAAAAGAAGATAGTTGATTTAACCGTCATAAAGATGCCTCGGTATCGCGGCGAAGTGTATTCGGTGACAACAAGTATCAACAGTGTCATATTGCTGCTGATAAGCATGCCTTGCATTATTTCACTAATTAATAGTATAATAGTTGAAGTGCTGAAATAAAACACGACGTATCCAATTAGTGTGTTGATACACAATATAACGAACGGTACTTTTCTTCCGAACCTCCGCGAGAGTATCGGTAGTATGAGTATCCATGGCAACGCTGCGTAACCGTGGATTGATGCTGAAAGGAAATTATTATTTTATAATTCAATGAATTTTTGCTTTGTTGTGTAACATAAAAGATAAAATACAATATAAAGTTACAGCTTATATAGTATTCAACATCTAACCCACTTGTTGATATAAAATAATATAATATTCAAGTCTATTACCTCATCAGATTTGAAATCTATTTGTAATGCTTATTGTACCGTCTTGGCATTTTGATTTCCAGACATTTCATATTGAGATTACAATAGGGTATTTTGTACCACTTACAACAAACAAAAGCGTCAATTTAGACTGATTTCGAAAGGAATTAAAACCTTTTAGAGTCAATTTTTAAATCATCTGATAATTCTAAACAGTAGAATAAAATTGACATATGACAGTTGTTAGTAGTGAAGAATTGTCAAATAACGGTAAAATGGGGTGAATAGGGTTTGAGCAGCGAAAAGGGACAGAAGAGGGGTGAATCGATACTATGAAGAATTTCCTTATATCTATTCATCCCTCTTCTGCCCCTATTCACTTCTCAATCCCTATTCACCCCATTTTACGGTATTTATAGATATTCCTCTTATAAATTTTAAGTGAGCATTGAAAAATCGGCCCCTAGGCAGGTTTTTTTGGTTAAGTATGTACATACAATTGTATATGTCGATACAAAAACTTTTGAATTTGATTTTGGAATCAGGCAAATTGTTATTGAGTTTTCCAGTTATTGAACACTCTCAGTTATATTGAGTTTGTTATTAGTGAATGGCGATAAGTTTAACCTCTCATTACATTAATTTTATAACATTACTGATGAGAAAACGAGCGTCGCTTATACCTTCTTTATCAGGGTAAGAAAGGAATGATGAGCCTTTAGTGAAATACTTACATAACCAGGAAGCCATATCTTCACTGACAGCTTCAGTAGAGTTCACATCCCTCCGTATTTGTGGTATGATGACGTTGGGAGCTCCATAACATAAACCAAGCACGAAATATATTGTCCATACTCCACCGACCACGAATAACTGTAACATATATATAACAAAAAGTTATAGTACCTATTTTTAATACATATTTCATATATTTTAATGACATATATAATGACTAGCTACTTCCACGCGGTTTCACTCGCTCTGCTCAGCTCCTATTGGTCGTAGCTTGATGTTTTATATCCTATAGTCATCCCCGATAATTGCGCTATCCAACACAAAAAGAATTATTCAAATCAGACTTGTAGTTACGGAGATAAGCGCGTTCAAACAAACAAACAAAAAAACAAACTCTTCCGTTTTAGTATAAGATATAAGACATGGTTATAGAAAGAAATCGTAAATACATACAGAGTGAGTTTTACCTCGGCTAATATTGTTAAAATAGATGTAATTTTACATTAACGAAAAAAAATTGTCCAATGGTAAACTCGAAAACGACCTCAAACCTCAAAAAAATAGTAATACATAAACGTCAAACACATGACGTTGTGAGGTCATTGCCCTTGCACTTATTAATCTACGTATAGACTGCTGCACACAATTACTTTGTATCAATATTTTTCTTCTGAATTTTCCTACGTACCTACACTTTTGAATCTGAATGTCCCATGTCGACCCTGTAAAAATTACCAACCTATTGTCATCGAGGGTCAGTTTATGGGGACCATGGCTATCAAAATTCCGATAATTCGGGCAGGTATTTTGTTGGAATTACAGTTATGAAGGTCGCAATTTTTATCCAAAGATAAAACTCTAAATTTTAAAACAATAGACTTGGTCTTTTTACTTTGAACTCAGAACATATCTGACAAAAAGTGATTTTCACATAATTAGGAAAAAGCGTGACGTCTTATTATGTAAATTTTCTGTTGGTAGTCGTATTAATGACCGAGTTATGGAATCAGTCTTCGTAGCATCGAGTAAAGTACTATATAGATTATCGATTTACGTAATTCACACTAGTCAAAAATACCAAGCTTGAAATAACAAGTATCTTGCAACACATTGACTATATTATTAGAAGACACTCAAAACATAACTGACGAAAGTAGAATATATTTTGCTATATTTATAAAGTAACTGGGTCATCCAAAATTAGAATAGTTAGCCCCAGAATTCAGTGATGCAGATACGAACTCAATAATACATAGGATTTCACTATTAAAATCCAGTGTAGGTACTAAATTACACCGCTATTTATAGGACCATGTTACACAATGGACGAAATGTAACACCGCCATTAAATCCACAAATAGATAAAACAAAACAACGAATTAAAATGAACCATAATAAGTATAAAAATAGGGATTAATTCTTGGTGTAGGTGAATATTTTAAAAAAATAGTGATAATAATAATAATGTAGCGAGTTTGTCGGCAGATACATAAAAAAATATCCATTGTATATGATGTGTAAATAAAAAACTACTGACACTCGGTGTAAATACTTACAATAGGGTAGACGACTAATTTTTATTTTAATGTCCGTCTGATAGATTATTTAAAAACATTAGACACGTATTTTTTATTTTCTCACAGAAACGAATAGTTTCGAAAATATATTTATTTGAAATGTCGCGTGACGTCACTTCTCAGTACATTTTATACTAAGAAATGACGTTTTAGCCCCCACTCTTAAACTTTGATTTGTTTTATCTAAGTATTGTTTTATTATACAACAAAATAAAAAAATACGTGTCTAATATTTTTTTATTACCTAACTTACGGACTAATTATATTTTTAATTTTCATACCCTGTCATCATCCCCATTGCCTGTGTTTTAAGGATTTAACAAACTTAATGTTATTTTATAAACAGGGGTTATTTGATAGGACTTATAAACGAAGACAATTAAAACTAGAAAGCGCATTATATTACAAAATACTTAGAGTAATAATAGAAAGAACATTTTGGTACCCTACTAAAGTTTATTTTGGTTCAAGTGTTGTTGTTAAATTACCTAATGGTGAAAAACAATTAATTTAGGTCAATGTATCTTTTGGTAGACCGCCAAATTGTCATTACACTTCTGTCAACATCTGCAGGAGTTAATAAGCTTTATATTACAAAACTTTATGCTACCATACACAATCTGAGAAAAGGAATAAACATAACAATAATGAATGTATTTTACGAACTTTACACACTTTAATAAAACTAAACGGTTGTGTTTTACGGACGGATGGACGAATTATGTGTGTTTATTTTTAAATTAAGTAGCTTAATCCTAACGTTTCTTATGCTTTTGTCTATAAAAAATAATAAAAGACAAATATTGTCTACTAGCTACTTCCGCGCGGTTTCACTCGCTCTGCTCGGCGCCTATTAATCGTAGCGTAATATTTTGTAGCCTTCCTCGATAAATGGGCTAACCAACACAAAAATATTTTTTCAAATCGGATCAGTAGTTTTGGAGATTAGCGCGTTCAAACAAACAAACAAAAAAACAAACTCTTCAGCTTTATAATATTAGTATAGATGATATAGCAAGAAGACGTGGAGACTACCACTAACCAAATTCAAATTCATTTATGGTTTGTTACACGTGTTGACAATAGATGTTATATATATCATAATAATAGTAGTATAGTAACATACAAATAAGGTGTACAATGGACCATAATAATTGCTGCACCATTATTCAGGATTTTACGATAATCCTGCTTCGTTTCCAAGCGAAATGCTTGCACTTCTATCTGGCTATGAAATAAATAAGTAAAAATAAATAATTAACTCACCTGTCTTAAAAATGGCGTCCATGAAATCTTAACGTTTTCAGTAACTTCTTCAACTTCCTCATCCACTGATTTGACACCAGTGTAATGGTTTCCAGACATTATACTATTATTCATATAAATTTAGAATAAGAAATAATAGTTATTTTCTAAAATCTGATAGACATATTCAGGTACTGTTTTACATTTCAATTAAAAAATAACTGTTGTTCTACACTTTTATTTCAATGCTTGTTTGTAATACCTAGATAATAAACAACACAAACTAAAATTTACTAACTAGTAATGTTTTGATATGTGTATAACAGGTACAATATTTGTTACAGGTACAGGTACAAAAGTCACCACATTAACAAACAAAATAATATGAAGTCTCCGTACTGAATGTAATTGTGCAATAATTCTCACTATTACTAATTATCTATTAGCTACTTATACATTTTAATTTACGTAAAATGCACTATTTTATACAAAAAATACCGGTTTTAAATGCACCTATGACACCTTTGTGGTATAAATAATAAAGAAACAATAGTTTTATAGACTATGTTTAAAAAAACGATTTATTACTTTTTAATTCCTCTTTTTGAGGTCGATTTGTTAATATACTAAAACCTTCTCCTAAGTGTAACCAACACTTTTCTGACAACCACATGAAAATCGAGATAATTGCGTACAAACATACATACAGGTCAAACTGAGAACCTCTTTCTTTGTCTAAAGTTGGTTAAATACAAAGTACACAACGTTATATAAAATGCGACTTTGAGGATATCAAAGCAAGTTCGGTTTTACATCACATTGTGAGCTCTCATAGTATTCGTAGAAAGTTTAGTAGTAATGAGTAATCATAACATTAAAAAATAAACCTGTTGTTAATCTCACTTTGTAATACAAGTACCTAAGTGATGTAGTTAGTAATAACATCACTAATTTAAACACTACAACAGTAAATCATCCTGATAATAACACAAACACAATACATGTCTTAATTAATTTTACTATCTTTTGTTACTAAGTAAATGCACGATTTTGGGCAATTCCATACACTATATAATACTGCATATATATAATACTACACATAAATAATACTACACATATATAATACTACACATATAATATATAATACTACACATATATAATACCGCACTCAACCAGATGGAACTTTCAAATGATTCCTTGTTTACAAAAACGTATATTTTAGTTTAACGCAATTCAAGTTATTGGGAACTTGCCAATCCAATCCGGTACTTATATATAACCTTTGTAATATTTATTTGTGGTATAATTATATTCATTTATTCGTTACGATTTACATAAAAATGTTGTTAGGCTATTTTAGGATATAACTGAGAATAATTAGTGTCATATTTGATAAGTACACCTAAATTATTCCATTCGGTGGACGGGTACTAGGAGATAAGGTTAAGCAGTTAATCATTGAGCTAATAAAAATATTTAAGAAAAAACTGAAACAAAAAGTAGGTAAGGTTTCCTATGTCTATTTTTAATTTTAGTACTCATTATTAGAACTATATAATTATGTTGCCTCATTGGCCGAGTGGTCGCAAGTGCGACTACAGGGCAAGGGGTCTCGGGTTCGATTCCCCGGCAAAGTATTACTGGGTTTTTCATAAAATTCACAGTAGTAGCACGGTGTCTGGAATTGTGCCCGGTATATGGCAATAGGCTCACCCCCTATTACATGGGAATCATAACATAAATAGTGAAAAGTGGGTGTTACATTGTACAGTGGCATAATGTACACCTCTGACTACCCCTTTGGGGATAAAAGGCGTGATGTTATGTTATGTATGTATGTATAATTATGTGTATCGTTTTCGATGTCGCAGTAGATAGCGATTCCCCATTACAATTAGGTAAACTAGGGAACGCCTTCAGCCGCCGCTGGAGTAATGTCTCGATAAACGTAAAACATCACAATCACAAAATCACGTAACTGCTGCAGTTTCGTTGTGAAGCGAAGTAAGTATAATACCCACATAGTATAATCTTATACCTTATTTATACTGTTATATAGTGTCGTGGTGGCCCGGAGGTTGAAGACACCTGCTTCTCATGCACGAGGGTGCAGGTTCGAAACTTACCAACGGCAAGTACCAATGTGACTTTTTCCGAGTTAAATGTACTTTCTAAGATTATTTAGACACCACTGACCAACGGTGAAGGAAAACATCGTGAGGAAACCTGGGTTTATAATTTCTAATTATAAGTTTGAAATCGCCAACCCGCATGAGCAAGCATGGTGATTATTGCTCTAACCTTCTCCGTGTGAGAAGAGGCTTTGCTCAGCAGTGGGCATTTATAAGCTGTTGATGATGATGATACTGTTATATAAAGCGGAAGAGTTTGTTTTTTTGTTTGTTTGTTTGTTTGAACGCTCTAATCTCCGTAACTACAAGTCTGATTTGAATAATTTTTTTTGTGTTAGATAGTGCATTTATCGAGGATGCCTATAGGCTATAAAACATTACGCTACGACCAATAGGAGCAGAGCGGAGTGTGTGAAACCGCGCGGATGGAGCTAGTATAAAGTAATTGTGAGTATATTGTAATACTGGGAGTTACAAATCCACAATAGTTCTTATTGAATGAGCAATATAGACCATAGAACTATATGGCCCGGTGCCCGTCCCGAAGCAAAAATACCTTGTATTACTAAAAATTGTATATCGGTTGAAAAATTGTATGAAAAATATTTTAAAGCGGGGCACTATTCACTATTCTTTATTTGAGTTTGTCGATAGAAACAGCGAAACTTGTCGAGGTTTTTATCAATACATACATACATACAGGTCCGTCGTTCCTAGTCATATTTACATATTTTTGCCTAAACCCAAAAGCGTGCAGTGCTTTTTTCCACTGTAATGGACTTTGACTCTATTCAATAAAACTGTGCTAACGATGAGTTTTTAGGAAAACGTTCTATTTTTTGTGTTTTTTCTGTTATATTTTTACAAGTTCTTACAAAAATACCACACAAAATTGCAAAGACGACCATTTGTACACATATTCTCATGTAAATAGAATTCATAACATGATGTTTAGATTAGTAACGATTTTCTATCTCAGTTTTCTCCATACCAATCTTTACTTTGAAATAGCTTTACTAATAAGCTGACTGACAATTCTATTTTGACTTTCAAAAGTCTGTATTCGGCTGTTTGTGTGCGATCGATTCCCATAAATACATAGTATATAAATACATTACACAATACATTAATTTGCTAAGATGATGACAATTTCATTACTAGAAGAAATATAATATACATAGTACATACCCTGTTCACACGCATGTGAAAGTATTATATTTAATGTGTAATACGAAACTGTTTGTCGTCCAACCACGTACATATATGTATATACGCATACATACATACTGACTCAAGTTTCGTAATTAATAAAATACTTAGAAGGAATGTATATTGACATAGTCACAGAACAGTAAACGCATGAATTAATGAAACAAAAGTATAAAAAGTATAGGCTTAATTCGACTATCTAATACTACTCTAGAAATGACATAAATTCCATAAAACACCAAACCCGTAGACGTGCTTACAAACAAAATCACTAAATATAAACAAACAGGCAATAAATTTGCCACCTCAGCCGGCTATAAAAATACAATACAAATACCGTTAATTACGGGCTCTACATCAATTTTACAACAATGTCCTGTTGAATTTAAAACCGATTAATTACCGTGCAAATATATCACAACTTATGGCTACGTATTAATAAACTGTTCACATTTTACTCCCACATTATCGAGAATATCACAATGACGTTTAATGAAGCTGCACTATTTGTTTCTGCCACATTCAATATTAGAGATAGGCTTACAATGGAAGCCAGTTCGACCTGATAGTGTTTGTTTTCATTTAGTACCTAAATGTACCTAATTACCCTTTCGGAGTGCGGTTCCTAGTCACGTATAAATGCCCCATGGATGGCTATGGCTGAATGCAATGGGGATCGAGAGATACAATAACGCCCGAATACTGAAAGGCTACTCAATGTCAAGTTGTATTTAAATATCGTGCCATCTCTGTCATTTTACGATCTCCGGCCACCGTAAACGCAGGCCTGCGGACGGCGAGCATGGGTGGCTCACCGCCCGACCAGAACCAGACCAGAGCGTATGGCGTGGCGTTGCACGCGCGCCTCAAAGGGCCATCAGACCACCGCGGATTGGGTCCAATAGGGCTGATGCCGATACGGAGCCGCGGAGAACCTAACGGGTTACCGGGGCTCCGGCTCGAAGTGCGGGAGTAAGAACGGGGGTTTTTTGCCAGTAAGAGTCTGACACTCCCTCCTGTCTCACCCAGGCGGGAGAAGTCATTCGATGATTTTCCCCTCTTAAAAAAACTGTCATTGTACAAAGAATTTGTAGTGACAGAACTATACCTAAGCGCGTTATAAAATTGAGTGCCGTTTGAGTATTCAGACATAAAGCTGATAACACAGGATCATTTTGCTCAACTGACACTGAATATAGCTTTATATAGCCTTGATATTTAAACATGAGGTTTGAAAATGTACATTAAAGTTTTACATCCTCAATTTGCCTTATAATACAGTCGAATAAAGAGATCGTTACAGGCAACTTGCAACTACTTTAAAACAATGTTGCAAGTATAATGGGTAGTCAAATGTTTTACATTGCTAGTAAATGAGAAATGTGGCTTAAGTGTGAAACGATATTACTATTAACAAAATGAAAATTATGTGTCTAGTAGAAAGACGTAACATTATACCCGTTATATGTATACCGAACTTGGTGTTTTGCCGTTTAAATATTGCCTTTTTTCTGTTCGTTACAGTAGTATTATACTGGTACTCGTTTCGAATAAGGTACGTATCGTACGACTTTTAATGAGGAGTCATTTCTAATTTAAGAAATGAATTTAAATATACATTTATGTGCAAAACAAATATGCTAAAATCCCTCATTTTGTACGACTTACGATTAGTCTGGTTTAATTTATCAATGGCGTAATAATATTAAAGGTATTTTGATGTCAATGCGTGGCCAAAGTGTAATCATTTATTTTTCTTGCTGAATCAACTTAAATATCTATAT